AAACTTTCAATTATTGTTAAATTTTTATAAAAGATAATATATTTTTTGCATCAATTTGTATTAAATTCGGTAGCTAAAATCAACAACCACTATAAATAAAAAGAATACAAAAGTTGTATAAAAACTTTATAATAAAATTTTTTTTCCTTTTTTAAATTATTAAATTTCTAGTTTATTTAATTAAAACTTGATTACAAAATTGTAATGAAATTTAAGTATTTCATTACAATTTTGTTTCCTTTTTTTATAATTATTTTTTTCTCAGTAGATAAGTTTAGCTTTTTGCCATGATTTATTAAAGCACTTAACAAGTTAAAAGATGTGAACTGCCATGGTCAGTGTGTATAAAAAAATTACTTTGAATGTGGATGAACAAGGCGTGCAACTGCATGCTCTTACCGGGAAGGCTTGTGACAATTTTTGCCTTATGGCAATTTGCCCTATCATAAAAATATTGAGTTTTATAATTCGAAACCAATTAGACAATTGTTCTTTAAAATTTCCAAATATTTCGCCTTGCTGCAAAAGATGTAAACCACCACTTGCGCTTTGTCTGAAAAAATGACACATTGCCACATTTTAATATCACTATTACAAATACTTTTCTATGCAAGGCTTCTTTGAGTGGGCAGGCACTAACACTGACTCAAGAGTGTAGTTAAGTAAGTATTTGTGAATTTGAAATCTGTATATCTTTCACAGCCAAGCAGCATATCATTTTGTCTGTTTTTGAAATAATAATTCTTGTTTTAAAGTTTGGATCTGGATTGATTCCATTTGATGGGCTGAATGACATCATGAACATTTGGTAAAGGTTACTTCAAATGTGCAGCAATCATTCATTTGCACCTGTTGTTTTTCATTAAAAGTTGTATTTAAGCAGGTTCAGCATATGTTGATGTATTTATATTCATTACATACATAAAATAATCATTGAGTTATAAGATATTTTTCTATTGGTTGATAACTATGTATTTGATATTATAATTTTTTCTACATAATTTGTTTTTATAAAAAGTAATTATTAATTTTGAAATAAATAGTTTCATAAAAAATAATTTAATTTTTTAATTTATTTTATTTTATTATAACTATTGGATAATTAAGGTAATAAAAAAATACTTGATTAAAATACTTAGATAAAAATTATAAAATTAAAATGCATGTTCAAGTTTGTTTAGTGTCTATTTACACATGCATGCTGTTTTGTTAATCACTCATGAATCATGAAAATATCCAGTTTGATGTTCATGTCATTTGTTCATAAATCATACAGTTATAAAGTCTAATGTTTATGTTATTCATTCATAACTCATGTAATTATCTATTTTGATTGTCTTTAGAAAAATTATCTGCAATATTTGCAATGTGCCATAATAAAATATTCTGTGGAAAACAGGAAGAAAAAAAATTCTATATTTCAACTTCAACATGCTATGCCTATACCTTCTGTAAGTCAGATTATTGAAGAGTGATTCATTTATCAAGAAAATTATGTTCCAAACCATTCTTTAAAACTTTGTAGAAATTATTTGAGTTAGCTTGAGAATGATCAAAGGTTGAATCTCTTTCTATCAAACTTTTATGGTATGAATTATAAAGAAATGTCAAGAAACTTGTGTCTAGAGATGCAATATTGCGATAATGGAAAAACTTGATAGTGAGTTGCATCAAATTGGCAAATTGGAAAAGTTGCTATGTAGAATGCCAAGAATATATAAAGCAGTCATAGCAACTAGGGGTGATCGCTCTAGTAAATTATAAATTGTTTCAATGGGATAGCATATATTTCATGGAGTTTTTGATTATACTTTTTTAAGGGAAAAAAAAACTGAATGCGTTACAAAAAAATATTGTTAGACTGTGTCAAAGTCTAAGTATTTTAAATATTAAATTTCATGGAAATTGGATTATATTCAAAGATTGCACCCTTTAATTACTTTTATAAAAAAATAAAATAATCAATATTTATGATATTTTTTGAAAAAACAAGAAATCAAAAACTGAAAATGTTTTAAATATTAAGGTTAAAAGGCACTATTGTATAAAACAAATTGAATATCAAACATCGGTGTAATGCTGGCCACAGAAGATATAGGGGAATCCTGCATGTACCTTAAAATTTATCTTTAATATTAATTAATTATTAAAAAAAAATTGTTGTCAGAAGAATTTGTGTTTTTTTTTAATCGAATTTCTAAGTTACTATACCATAAAAAGTTATTAAAAATAAATTTTTTCAAAGCATGAAATTATTTTAATCAACGAAAGAAAAAAAAATCTACTTAGTTTTTTTTTAATGTTTTTTTAAATGTTTTTAATGGATGTTCTTTAAATGTTTTGTATGAACATAAATACCTTTTAATACCTCTAGTATAATTTTTGTTGTTTGTTTTTAATACGTTATTGAAATTTTAATTATTATATACCAATTTTTATTTGAAATAAAAATTTGCCTGTGTTGATAAAACTAGATTTTCTTTAGGTGTTTACATAACTTATGTTCTGAAAAACATATTCACATATGTTTTTATTTATTTTAGTACACTCTTAGTTAACATTATAAAAATCAAAAAAAAATTTATAAATTGTTTTAATTGTTATTATGTTAAATTTCAGCAATTATTAGTTGTTATTGTTATTTGTATTTGTACATTATTATATTTTTAGTTGCTATTGTTATTAGTATTTATACATTATTATATTTTTAGGCAATAATATCAATCTTGCTTTGCAAACTAGTAATTTTATAATACAGTGTAATGCTAATTAGTTTACACTTAGTTACATGCCATTATAAAAGGTTGCAGGTTGGTTTTAGTTCATGGTGACCAAGGTTGCTTGTGTGTGCCATTATTGAAGAATAGTTCCATGCAACACATAATATAATTGAATCCCTGACATCAATTAATTGTTTTATAATCAATGAAATCATTCACAACACTCTTAAAAAAAGAAAACTAGCATTACATTGCTAACCCCACACGTAAACCATCACCTTGCTCACAAGTAAGCCAATCAAAATTGAAAGTAAAGAGTAGTTATCAACTGAGGTTAATATTTGACCAGGTTTGATAAAATTTAGAAAACCTCTAGATCTCTGACCTCTCCAACTCTGCCATTGTACATGTAATTATATGTGCTTTATCTACCAAGCTTAAATCACTCTCTGATTGTCATAAGGTTGCATTTCTTTCTTTTTTCTACTAATACTATCATAGTCAATCCTCAAGCAAGCTATCATCTCTAGTTCAATCAAGCAAAACTCATTTTCACTTGGCTTCTTAAACAGCAAGTCTTTCACTGTATTTGTCCCTTCATGCTATAAAAACTTTTATTAATCCAGTTTTTTTTTCTTGCACATCAACAAAATATCATATTTCTTAGCCATCTTCATGCTTTCTTGACTTGCACAACCTTCAACTTTTTAAGTCTTCAGTTAACCGCTTTCTTGCTCTTTAACCTTATCTTCTATTTTCTAGTAACTCATAACTTAATAGTGGCTTGTAACCTTTTTGAAAGTCTTTAAAAATATATAGATACATGTTATTACTTTATAAATAATAAAAATTTATAATATAAAAAAGTATTATACATTTTTATCTAGCTCAACCCCTGCTAAATCTTGTAATTTTCCCCAGGCCAGTTTGCAAAAGGTCTCATTTTAGGCCAGGGTCAGGGTCTGTCACTAGTATAAAGTTGAGGCATGTAAGGAAAATTTAGTCCTATTAAGATATGACCTATGGAAACCATGTGATGTTGTTACAGGGATAAGTTATGGTTTTATTTGAAATAAATTAGACACAAGTTGGCTAACCAGTTGGATTGGTGAATTTGAAAGTCCGAGAACTATAATAAGATGTGACAGGTTTGAGTAGAAAAACAACAGTTGTTGTTCATTTGGATTACTTTAGAATAGGGAACACTATTACTAGTCAATATTATGTAGAAATTGTTTGAAACCTGTAACACACAAAATTAATAAGCAAAGACCTGTAATAAGCACTCAAAACTTTAAATTTCGCTATGATACCGCTCGAACCCATGTTACTCAATTCGTTGCAAGTTGTATTAATTAAGCTGCAATCTCAATAATTCACATCTAATAGCTCCATCTAATTTTTAGGTATTCAACTTGTTAAAATTTTGATGACCATCTGCCATTGAAAGTCAAATCACAACAAAATATACTCAACAAAGAGTATAATGTTTTACAAATGGCTTAAAAGGATGCGTTTTTGTATTGATAATCATCAATTTTAATTTTATGAACTTTTCTAAGAACATAAGTAGAAACAATAGTAACATTTTATGCAGCCAAAATAATTTTAATAATGCCATTTAACACTATTTTGAGAAAGAGAGTAACTAAAAACATTAGCATTGCTATTGTTATACACAACATTTATGTTAATAACAAATCTATGTTTTTCAGTAAAGTTTATATTTTTAGGATTTTAACATTGGCATGTTTAAGAAATATTCTTTAAACAAAATTAAAACATTTATTAATTAATCTCTAAGTTTCACATTCGTTTTATAAATATAAAAAATATTTTACATGTGATAGAATTTTATGTAATTAATTCAAATTTAATTATACATATAGTATAAACAAGTATATTATAACATCATAAATCTTATATTATACTTATTTTTATGAGAAAACTAGTTTTCAGTTTGTACCTCGGTAACAATACCATATGTTGAGTAAGCAATTTCTTAATTTTATCTGTTTAGTTTGTACTTTGCCAAAAATGAGATTGTGATATAAAATGCGTAAGAATTTTTCATCTAAAATGTACTTGCTTCACATATTACTATAACTTGTTTGTATTCATTGCATATGTAAAATATGCAAGTAAATACAATTGACCAAGAGTAGTAATCTGTTGCTCTAGTTATATAATAAAATGATTTGGAGGGATTTTTTATATATTCTTTTAAAGTTTTATTCCCATGAAAATTAAATTTTAATATGATGCAAATTGAATGTTTAGAATTGTTTTATGGTGGTGAACCATCTGTTTCATTAGATCAGCAGCCATCGTCGTATTCTTTTGTTTGTCCACATTGTGGTAAGCTTGGCTTCAGTGAAACCCTTCTTTTTGAACATGTATCAGAATCTCATGCTAATGCAACAATAGAAGTAGTAGGTTGAAGTATTTTCAAAAACTGTTGCTAATTGCTTTATTTACATTTATATATATATATATATATATATATATATATATATATATATATATATATATATATATATATATATATATAATCTTTGAATGTCATTTTCTTGTTATACGTTAAAATATGGTTAGAATTCAATAAATACGGGTGCGTATAAACTTTTTTTTAATATATATATATTTTTTCTTTAATATCTAATTATTTCGATATTTCGCTGATCTATTGTGATCAGCGTCATCAGGTATAATAAACAAAATAGTTACAAAATTGTTATAGTAAAAACAAACCGTTAAAAAGATAACATTAAAAAGCCATAATATATTACAGAAAAAAACTTTTCAAACAACTGACGTCAGCAGATTTTATTAAAAAATGGCCTCCAGGTTTTGGTTGTTACGTTATCACTGTCATCCCGATTGAGAACCACGTCACCATTTCTCAGCTCCTGTTGAACCCTAGCCTTGCTTATTTCGAGTGACTCTCTGATTTTCCGAGTTCAATATTCTGGGGCTACAGATAATGTTTTGGGGTGCAACCAATCAAACTTACCATGGCATGTTTTAGAATGCTCAGTTGCACCCGAACTGGACCATTTTCCTTTTAAGCTGTTTTTTTGGTGTTCAATACATCTCAATATTCATATACATTTTTTAATAAAATCTGCTGACGTCAGTTGTTTGAAAAGTTTTTTTCTGTATTATATTATGGCTTTTTAATGTTATCTTTTTAACGGTTTGTTTTTACTATAACTATTTTGTTTATTATACCTGATGACGCTGATCACAATAGATCAGCGAAATATCGAAATAATTATATATTAAAGAAAAAATATATATATATTTAAAAAAAGTTTATACGCACCCGTATTTATTGAATTCTAACCATATATATATATATATATATATATATATATATATATATATATATATATATATATATATATATATATATATATATATATATATATATATATATATATATATATATATATATATATTAATAATCTTCTATAGATCTGTCCAATATGTGCAGCACTTCCAGGTGGTGATCCTAACCATGTGACAGATGATCTTGTCAATCATTTGTCTATTGAGCACAGAGCAGAATCAAGAGACAGAGAAATGGTAAAATAATATGCTATAAATCACAGAGTATAAATCTAGTATATGGCAGAGTGTTGCATCACTAAAATTGCAGAAGAATTGAACTAAGCAAACTCTGATGCATACTACATTATGATTTTTATTATAATCTTGAGAGCTTATACTAGCTTATATTTAGAGGTTTAATCTATTTAAATATTTAAATGTTTCAACTATAAAGTAAAACTTGTGTTTTATTAAATCGCTTAATTTTTTTATATTGGCTTATTATTTTTTATCATTTATTATATAAAATATTATTATGGTTAACATCAGGAAAGAAATCTAAATGCAAAAAATTGATTTAACTTTTCTATTTCATACTTAAAATAAAAATTTGTAGTGGAAAACCGTTCACACCACTGATGCTAAACTTTAAAATAAAAAATTTATCTTAGCTGGTTGCTTAAGCTTATTATAATTTTTTAATTAGTAGTGAATTATGTAAGTTGATCTAAAATACACAAGTGGTGTGAATTAGAGTTTGATTGTGTACTTTTAATTCTTAAATGCAATTTTATGTCTATAAGAGTTTTTTTTTTTGTCTTTTGCTTCATAGCTGTTGTAAAAAATGCTAATTGGTAATATAAAATCTTCTTTCTGTTTTTGATTTATTAGGAACTATTGCTAGTTTTAAATTAAAATTAACTCTGTATTAAAAAAAAAAATTGTTTGCATTTGATTAAAAGTTGCATAGAACTGTTGACATTTTTTTAGGAGGAACCTTTGAGTAGGAATATTCGAAGACTTTTTCACCCTACAACTCGAAGTGTTCAGCCTCCTCGTTCACGGCGTGGTGTTTCACAACTCTCAGCTAATCTCAGTTCATCTTCTTCTGAAATTAATGCTCTTTCCAATGAAAATGTCAATTATTCCTCAGCTCGGGAAAGTATTGATCCTATAGCTGAGTTACTAACCCAGTTGTCAGGAGTCAGAAGAGTGGCACAGCAGCAGTCAGCAGCTATATCCGCTTCTCATCTGCAGCTTTTACAACAAAAATTGCAGTTTGAACGTCAACAGGTAGCTACATTTTATTGGCGTGCCAATATCTAATTTTATTTGTTTTAATTGTAGTTATATTTTGTGTACAGTGCAAATGGTTCAATCAATACAAATTTTAAAAAATAGTTGTGATAATATTTATATTATTTAATAGTTTTAGTGTTATTATTGAATGCCTGCAATAATTCAAATTTATCGGTTTATAAAATCGTGTGTATTAGGTTCAGCAGGCTCGTGAAAGGTTAGAACGGTTGCCAAGGAAACAGCCTACTCCTACATCGACTACAGCTGTAACTATTACAACAAAAAAAACAACGAAAGCAGAAACAAATACCTCTAGCAATGAAACTTCTAAGTATTTGCTATCTCAGTAAGTTTTTTCCAATTTCCGATCTTTTCATAATTGTATATTTATATATTATATATTTTATTATGAAATTCATTTTTTCTTGATTTATGATGGTTTACTGCTTTGTTATTCTAGGTATTATTCAGAAATAAGTTCAAAAGAAAGAAACGACGAAGATATCGAGGAGCAGCAAATGCAAAGTGATTTTACAAAAGACCTCGTATACTCATTAATTTCTCCGGAAATATATGATTTTGATATTTCGGAAAAATCTGATGAAATTATTGCACCCTCCAATTCTAATCAAAACAGCATTTTTAGTAGTGTTGGATCTTCTGAAAAGAATAATTTATTCGAAAATACGATAGTCAGTGGTTTGCGCGTATCTACAGAAAGTTCTTTAAATTCCAACTCCCCTCAAGAATTGTCCCTCAAAAAACAGTGCTCCTCTGTTGAGGTTTTTCTACAAGGAGATAATAAGAACGACTCAAATGAATCAGTTTCATAGTGTTTATTAATTTTGCTATTGTTTTAATGAAATCGAGTTGTAACTAAGATCCAATTTGCTACACAATCCAACTTGACTTAATACTAGTTAGAATAAATTCATTGTTTCACTGGATTTGTGTTTTGACGTCTTGGTTGTTTAGGAAGTTAAATATTTTTTCTTGAATCGTTTTCTTTGCAAATAAATTTTTAACGGACAAGACATTTTAACGGAATCTTTTGTGTATTTTGTGTAATTAAGGTAAAATAATTTCGTCTCCCTTTCTATACTCTTTGAAAAAGTAGTTTCACCATGTTTGATTAATATCTCCACAATTATATTTTTATTGTGTTCGTTGATTTTTTATTATTTTTTTATTAATGTTTTATAAATACTAACCGCAAAGCGTTTAGGCGGATTACAAACATTTTTAATAAATGAAAATTAAAACAAAAAAAGTATATTTAGTTAATTTAAAAATGGAAACTTTGGAATCTGATACTCGACGGAAATAATGGTATGTAAAGTTATATATATATATATATATATAATATATATATATATATATATATTATGACTACTAACATAGCCAAAAAAAAATATTTAAAAGATCATACTTTAAGCATTAGTTTTAAAACTATGAATCTAAGTTAATAGTATCATTGGATTTTGTTATTTTGAAGCTGATTGATAATACTATTGGATCACTTCTCAACAGCAGATAATATTGGTTTTGCATTGTATTTTTTCTTGAAATTTTACACGTATGGTTTAAGGCGGATTTTTATCAACAAGAAATTTTCCACGGAAAAGAAAATTATCCAATCATGCAACAAAAAAATTGCGCATCTTAAATTTTTTTGTTAGATATTTAGTTCTTTTGATCTTGTCTGATATTTTAATTTTCATTTTGTATCCTAAATCTAGAACATATTTAAACAATCTAATCCAACAATTTTAAGTAGGTATTTCCTTTTTAGGAGACTTTTCATCAGGAGTAAACATTCTAATTTTTACTAGATTGTTCATCTCACTTGGCTTTGCAAAACAAACATTGCACGATTGCGATGAATTCAAAGACATCACAGTATGTCAACTAATTAGTATTATAAATAGTATGTCAGTTAAAATAACTATGATTTTTAATAATAGTTATATCAACTTTCTTGACATAACTATTATTAACAATAAAACTGGTATGCACGATTTTAAAGTTTACCGTAAAGATGCCAAACTAACGTTCAAATAAAACCTAACTTAGGCCATAATCCAAAAATGATAAACCGCGTTCTTGAAGGATTTGATCATATGCCATTAAATTTATGCCCTGATAATAATATCGAACAAGAGTTATTATTTTTAATTAATATTTTAGCAGAAAATAAATATTAAAAAAAACCTAGAAAGCATTTTAAAAACTACTAAAAAAAAATTGCATAACAAAAAACAAAATATTGAAACTCGACATTTATCCATTTTATGGTAAATTGTATCATTTCGTAGTAAAATCAGTATTATCAAATCGTTGATTGTAAAGACTTTGTGAAGATGCATCCATGTCACATTTCAAAATAATTAATCCACTTATCACAGAGTTTAAAATAATCTAATATTGCAAAATACTCAAATCACAAGGAGTTTTAAGTGACAAATCTTGATATACAGACATAACTGGCTGGTGTTTATCACATCATAGTTGATTGATGTTTATTTTTTTAATTTTTTTTTTTTTTTTTTTTTGTTTAGCTTATTTGACTTTTACAAAACATTTTAATACTTATTCTCAAATCTGATTTTTTAGGACTTGAATTTGCATGTACAACAGCAGCTTCTGCAAACTCTTCAGTTGAATGATTTTAGCCAGTACAAATCAACATAATTATTATTGGGTAAAATGTTTCCATTATGGTAATGCAATTTTCAATTTTAAGATTTTAACACATAAAAAAAAAGTTATTCAACTCATTTTTATTTTATTTTTTTTTTTTTATGTGTTGAAATTAATCTCTCATAGTTCAACACTTTAGACGGAAAACGTCCTTTAAAGAAAAACGTCCTTTAGACGTTTTCCTTAGTACCATTTCTTAATTAAAATGATGCTATGAAAAATGTAAAACAAACTTTTACAAATTAATGTACTTCCAAACTTAAACTGTTACATAACAGGACTGAGTATTTTTATCATGAGGCTGTCACTAGGAAGATTACTATAGAAGGTAAATAAAAAAGTCTAATTTTTTCTGAGTGCTCCACATCGGACAGCTCTTCATTGGTGATTTTTCCTTTTTTTTTGCTTCAGTTTCTAAAACAGCTTGCTTACTCACATGATTAATACCAACTTCTTCAGTTATGTTTAAAAGTTCGAATTTTTTTAATAAAGAAAACACTTGAATAATCTTGCAAACAAAGTCTTCTACACTTTACACTAAATATTTTTTTAAAATATTTCAATTTCAACTTTCTTTACACTAAAGGTTTTTTTTTTTTTTTTTTGAGTTTAAACTAAGATTTGTTAAAAAATTGCTTAAATTTCACTTTCTATAAAAAAAAAAAAAAAATTGCAAAAAGCTTTGGTCATTTTTTCGCGATTTAGAATCACAACACACTGGAAGGATATAGATTTGATAACGCATATAAAATTTTATGAAGCTGCATCGCTGACAAAAATAGCAATATCTCGTGCAATTTTATCACTCTTCATTCAATGCAATTACCTTTTGTTCGATCAAATTGGATTTTACGTTATATGTGATTTTTTTTGTAACTTAATCCAACTCGACCGAATAACATTGAACGAATATTAATTTTATAAAGTTTTATAATGGCGTATTTGAACATGGGGGCAATACCTTAAATTAATGAAATAAAAAGAATAACTAAAATACTACATTAATAAAAAATATAATTTTTTATTTATATTTATATCTAATATTATAAAAACTGATATTTTGAACCAATCTTTCGAAAAAGGTATAATTAACATGAATCTTTGATCACCTTCAAAACTACTGTTTAATTTTTTTCTCAATTGTCAAATCTAGTTTAGGAGATTATTAAAATCATTTTTAGGGCAATATTTAAAGAGCACACTTGTTATTACAAGTTTTACTTTGACAGTTAAAAACTTTTAGTTTAGGTTTCATTTTCTTTCCCGCACAATTTTTTTAAGCAAAAAATAAAAATTAATCCATATATATACGATACCATAAAATAAACGATCTCTCTTTTTTTTTTTTAAACGTCTTCGCTTCCAACAAGGCTGCAAACAACCACTAATTAGTGTTGGAAGTTACTGGAAGAAAAAAGATGAAAATTGTAGAGCAGGTTAGCGATTGACAGACGACTTAAAAGGCTGCAAATTATACGAATCAGGAAAACAAGATGAAGGAAGCGAATTCCAAAGAGCTGATGTTAGAGGAAAAAAACTAGACGAATAGGAGTTTTTGGAGCACTTAAGAAAAGTAACAGAAAAAGGATGAGACTTAATTGAATGACGAGTAACACAAGAGTGAATTTTAGTAGATGGCACAAGAGACGCTTGCTCTTCAGAGCAGTGCCCATTGTAGTATTTGTGGAAAAGAGAAAGAGAAGCAACATTGCGACGATGTGATAATGGTTGAAGGTTGGCTGCACCTTTCTTTTTTTTTTCAGACAAGACATTACAAAACCAGATTTTTTGAAAAAGTTGATTTTTACAGGCCAGATTAAGTAGTAATTCGGATCCGACGAGTTACAAATACCTTCACACGTCGCGTAAAATCCATCCCGACCCAACGAAAGTTAATAACCTTAAAAGAATAGTTATTTTTGTCAGCGATGCCGCTTCAGAAAATTTACGATAATTTTTTCGAAACATTTTACTCTGCATATGACGCTAATTTTCCTATCATTGTAAAAGCAACAAATTCAAAAAATATAAACAAATTTTGGGTGACCAAGGAATTTAAAAAAATCATGAAAGATAAAACAGAAGCTCTATATAAAATATCATAAAAGAAAATCATCCACAAATGAGAAAATATATAAAGAATATAAATACCTATTTAAAAAAGTTTGTAAAAACTCGAAAAAAATTTCAACTCAAAAATCATAGATAAATTTAAAAATAACTCCAAACGCATTTGCCAAATAATGAATGAAATTAGTATAAAAAAGATGCTCAGGTTCCCTCCCTCAAACAATTAATATGTAGCTATTAATTTGCATATTAGTTTGTTATGATATTATCATAACAAACTTATATGCAAATCAAGAGCTACAACTCATTAGCTTAACAAATTCTTCGGTGACATTGGTCCTAACTAGCAAATAAAACTCCTTATTCCTATGCTACATTTAGATATTTTTTAGCACAGATGGATAATTACATTGGTTCAAACGAATTATCTTGCGAACTATCTTTTAAAGAGTTTAAAAAAGCTTTCTAATCTCTTTTAAAAAAAAATCAACTGAAGAAGATGACATAAGCGGTAATATATTCATAGAATGTTTTGAACAATTTAAAGCAGGGTCGTCTTGAGGAGGGGTGTAGGGGGTGTCTAACCTTAATTTTTATTGATAAAGAAATTAATTAGTCTGCAAATTTGGACACTGCAGTCAGCAAAATTGGATCTGTTGTCGGCAGTCGGCTAATATTAGCCAACGAAGAACTTTTTTCTTTCTTTTTTTTTTTTTTTTACAGATTTTAGTTCCTTAACAATTCGTCGGCTCGGTATGCAATTGTCGTATCGCAAATTTATTAAAATTATATATAAATATGTAATAACATAATTTATGTGAGTTTAAAGTTATGTAAAAGTAAAAAATTATTTAATATAAATTATTTAATATAACGTTTTAAAAAAAAAATTTTCATTAATATATGATGTTAAATTTACATATATTACATAATTGCATATTTATATATAACTTTAATAAATTTGCAATACGACAATTGCATCCCGAGCCGACGAATTTCATAAAGTCTTATTTATTACTTAAATTTCATAATGTCTTATTTATTACTTAAATTTCATAATGTCTTATTTATTACTTAAATTTCATAATGTCTTACTTATTACTTAAATTTCATAATGTCTTATTTATTACTTAAATTATTGCTCCGTCTCCTTAATGCCTTATGTCTCCTTTATGTCTTATTTCTAACACTTCTATTTTAACCCTTGTACTTTTTTTTTAAATCATTTTTCTGCCTAATTCAGAAGATGCTACTGAAATCTATACAGAGAAATGCATCAAGATTTAACGTCTATAAACGTCTCCACCAAGATGTCAGTGGCAGCTTCGTAA